CGCACTGCGAGGAAGCCGGGGGCGCCGGCTCGGTGCAGTAGGCGCCGGGGGCCGGCGGAGTGCCCGCGGAGGCCTCCGGGGGGATGGGTTCCTCCTCCTCCTCCTCCTCCTCCTCCTCCGCCTCCTCCTCCTCTCTCCTCCTCCTCCTCCTCCTCCTCCTCCTCCTCCTCCTCCCCCTCCTCCTCCTCCTCCTCGCCTCCTCCTCCTCCTCCTCCTCCTCCTCCTCCTCCTCCTCCTCCCCCTCCTCCTCCTCCCCTCCTCCTCCTCCTCCTCCTCCTCCTCCTCCTCCTCCTCCTCCTCCTCCTCCTCCTCCTCCTCCTCCCCCTCCTCCTCCAGCTCGTCCTCCTCCTCGTCCTCCTCCTCCTCCTAGGGAGGAAGAGTAGGACTCCGTTCTAATCCAATCAATCTCCAGGATGTCTTGGTACAGTCAACCAGTATTATAAGGACGCACGAGAAGAATGCAAGGACATTGGAAGGCCATGTCGACACGTTGCGGACGGGGCGCGGCCAGCGAAAGCGGCCAAGGATGGGCCGACAGGGAATAGATGCAAGGGCAACCCTGCAAAGTCGCACATCCTTACTATGCGGGTTGACTGCAAGGAGTCCTTAATAAAGAATCCGAAGTCGGAAGTCCTTAGTAACACACTGCCGACCCTCACTGTGCTGATCCTCCCTTTCCTGCTCCACACTCGCCCGATCCTTACCCTGCTGATCTTCATTATTATCATCCTCTCTCTCCTGACCCTGTCCACATCCTCGCTTTCCTGCTCCACGCTCGCCTGATCCTAACAACCGTGACCCTCACTCGCCTGATTCTCCCCCTCGCGAGTTTCGCCCTTCTGATCCTCATCGTCCTTATCCCCACCCGCAGCACCACCGCTTCCCGCTCATCCACCTCCCGCCCACAAACGCACGCCGCTTCTTCTTCTTCTGTGTACAGAAACTCCCGATCAGCCGCAGAGCCGCCAACTAGTAAGGACGCACGGCGAAGATGCAAGGCCCTTGGACAGCCAGGTTGACGTTTTTCGAGTGGGGCTGGCTAGCGAAAGTTGCCAGGGGTGGGCCGAACGGGCAAGGATGCGAGGGGAACCTTGCACAGGTTCTCCTCCTTACGATGAGAGTTGACTGGGATCTCGCTCTGCCAGCTCTGGCGCTCCAGTGCCTTGGCACCTCCTTCTCCTGGCGGCGCGCACGCGGGGGTAGCGCGTTGGGGGGCGGCCTGCTTGGAGGGCGGGGGAGCTTCTGAGAAGGCGGGGGGACTCTCAGAAGCCCTCCTCGCTCCCAAGATTAGGGGGCCACATGTGAACCCTACCCCTGCCCCCCACGATTTCGGAGGGGGAGGGTGGGGTTCACTTCGTTCGGGAGCTCCCGAGCGAAGTGAACCCCACCCTCCCATCAAAAATCGTGGGGGGTAGGGGTAGGGTTCACATGTGGCCCCCTAAAGATGCCTTCTTGGAAGCCTCCAGGCCAGTCTGAGGAGGCCCCTGCCCACGAAGGAGCGCGCCGCCCTCCTAGAAATCCACGCCCCCCGCGCCACCCCCTTGTGCGCCCGTGGGCACTCCCCCTCCTCGGGGGCCTCAGCTTCGGGGGCTGTGCTCGCCTTTCCTCTGGGCGCCGCCTCCCCCTATGCGCCTTTTAATTGGCCTGGGTGTTCACGCGATACAGGATTTGCTTGCTCACAGCTGAACCTCGTTTCTGGATCTTCCTTATCCTCCCTTCTCGTGCTTGAGCGAGGCGCACATAGATGGATAGCCACAATGGTCAATACTTGCACGAGCGTGTTGGTCGTGCGGCCGAGTGTGGCGCCTGCGGGATATTACATGACCCTGATGGTTGTCAGCACTGGGCAGGCCTTTCTGGCTAGTCCAAGGGAAGCCCCTGGGCAGTTTCTTTGATCCCATCCTTATCATCCTCATCATCTCCCTCCTCTTCTCGCCCCCCACCCTCCCCATCCCCCCTGCGTCCTACATCCGCATACTCATCGTCATCGTCGTTCTCATCGCCCTTCAGATGCAACGGCAGCAAACGGAACCAGCATATGCAAGCCTGGCTGGCCTGACCAGCCCCCGTGGCAGCGCCCGCAGCCGCGCCAGGAAGGTCCTGAGGCGGACTGCAGCAACCGGTCAGGAACTGCTGCTCGGCGTGTCGCGGCGGCGGCCCCAGCGACGCGCCGTGCCCTGCGAAAAAGTTAGCGTGAAGTTCCGCTCCGCTGGGCGGGAGGCTCGGAACCACTCGACGTTGACGCCCGGGGACTGGGAAGTGGAGAGCAGGTCCCGCCGAGGCGCGGTGGGCCAAGAACGGCGGAGGCGACACGCCATCCCGAAACTCTCGACCGCAACGTGCTGCCGCTTCCCCGCCTCGGAGCAGAAGGACGAGGCGACCGGGTAACGTGCGGGGTCGACGCCAGGCGGGGTGGGCAAACGAGGTGCACTGGGGATAGCTCTCCCTCTGTCTCTCTCTCTCTCTCTCTCTCGCTCCCTTTTCTTGTTTGTCTCTCTCTCTCTCTCTATTTGTTTATCTTTATCTCTCTTTATCTCCCCCCCTCTATCTCTCCCTCTCTCGCCGCCTCTCCCTCTCTCTCTCTCTCTCTCTCCCCCTCGCTCCCTTTTTCTCTCTCTCTCTCTCTCGCTGTCCTTCGCTCCCTCTCTCTCTCTCTCTCTCTCTCCCTCCCAATATCATTATTGTGTTGTTTCTCTCTCTCTCTCTCTCTCTCTTCTCTTTCTCTTTCTCTTTCTCTCTCTCTCTCTCTCTCTCTCTCTCTCTCTCCCCCCCTTCTCTCCCTCTCAATCGCCTTCCTACCGCGAGACCACCTAATCTGCGACAGCTCTGAGCTTTTCTTGCTGCAGTAAGAACGGGGGTTCGACGATTCGGGCAGCAGAAACATATATTCTGTCGTAACGGCGCTGGCCAATCTCCACCAACATCCGTAGTCAATTTGGCCACCGAAGGCTTACCCAGCGAGCTCAGGGCAAGACTCGGACAGTCCCTGCGGGGCCAACGCCTTGTCACAGCGGCTCCACGCTAGATGAGAGAAGGGAATCATGCATTACTATTGACAGACGGACGACTGGGACTAGTAGGAGGCAATCTGCGCCACTAGATGAAGACAAAACTGCATCTTGGATTGGCGCTGGCCCCCCTAGCAAAAATTGGAATAGACATCCTGATATGTAGTGATTGCGGAAATATAAAAATGTTGGAGGCACCTTTGGTATGTCTGTAGCCGTGAGTCGGCGAATCGGTTGTGGAGGTATGTCCCCGTGCTCATTTAGGGATAATGGTGAAGCGCTTCTGCGCAAGGGTAGTTGATGTAGTAGCTTGTTCTCAAGCGCATCGTGAGTCGGAGTGTAGTGGCGTAAAGTCGTGGCGGATACGCTGTTGGTGGTACTCAGGGGAGATAGCGTTCCTGCGATTGGCGCCTCTGCCTGCTAGCCAATAGTCGCGCTTTGACATCGTAGTGGTAGCAGCGGCATACCATGCAGTGCCGTGGAGTATGAGTGTGATAAACAAAACTGACCACACGCGAGTGAGGCCAGCTCCGCTACCAAGCAGCAACTGAGGTAGGCATCGTGAGATGTTGTAAAAGTTGTAAAGGATAGATGTGGGAAACATCTCCAATGAGTAGGACTCTTTTTCGATGCGATGCAATGGCGGATCGCTAGCTGCGCTTGCTGCGCTTACGATCCAGACAAATAGAGCGCCGGCCGCTTGAACAACAAACGGCGGCGCGGACGCCCACTACGCGCTCTTACGTGGTACGCAGTCCCCTGACCTACGTTCAGAGTTCCCTTCCTGGCGCACGGAGCGCGCCGAGCACCGTTGCCGCCAGGCTTGGCGCCGAGCCGACGAAATCCGCACGCAGCTTCGAGAGCTTGTGTGTGTGTCTGCTTTTTCCCCGAGGGGGGCGAGGAGCGCCATGCGGGAGAACGAGGAGGAGTAAGAGGAGGCCAATCGCACCGTGGAGGAGTACGACGGCAAGGTGTGAACCAGAAGGTCGATGCTTCCCCCCCTGTCGGCGCGTGACTTTCGGGCCTTCACTTGGGCCTCCAGCGGCAAGTGGCTTTTGGGGGCCTTCACTCTGGCCTCCGGCGGCCGCTCGGCACCGGCCTGGCCCCCCCCCCCCGAACAATCTCGGCGAGGCCCCACTGCCAGAAAACAGAGCGAAGGTGTGGAGAGCCGCAAGAACTGTCCGAACACGCCAGGCACGCCCGACGCCCCGAGCGATCCGCGAACGACGACGAGGGGTGGACCCCGCGCTCCCCGGAGTCGTCGGCGTCCCCGCCCATGTCCGTCGGCACCTCCTGCGGCACCTCCTGCGGCAGCTCCTGCGGCACCTCCTGCGGCGGCGCCGCCGGCGCCTGCGGCGGCAAGAGCGGCGGCGAAGGGGCTTCTCGCGGGGCAGCGGCGGGCGGGGCGGGGCGGGAGGAGGGCCAGGAGGGCGGCGGCGAGGAGGGAGGCGAGAGCGAGGGGGAGGGAAGGGGCGGAAAAGGACGGAGGAGGCAGGGGCGGGGGGCGAGGGGGGCGGAGAGGACGAGGAGAGCGAGAGGGGCGAGGGAGGACGGCGAGTGAGACGAGGAGCAGCCGCAGCGGCAGCCAGGGCGGGAGGAGGAGCGAGGGCGGAGGGGCAGAAGGAAGCTGGGAGGTGGGACGGAAGAGAAGGCGATTGAGGGATGAGGGGGAGGAGGCAGAGTAGAGGAGGAGGAGGAGGAGGAGGAGGAGGAGGAGGAGGAGGAGGAGGAGGAGAGAGGAGGAGGAGGAGGAGGGGAGGAGGAGGGAGGAGGGATGGAGGAGGGGGGGGGGAGGAGGAGGGGGAAGAGAGCACGTGCCTCCCCCCGCCAGCTGGGGCCCGCGGTCCCAAGCTCGAGCGCGGCGCCGCGCGCGGCGCCGAGCAAGGCAGCGTCCCGAGAGAGGGGGCGCCGACGGGAGCGCGTGCCACCCAAGACCCCGGGAGGCTGGGTAGTCGAAGCCAATCTGGCGCCAATCTGGCAGGCCCAGTCTGG